ATCATGAAGCATTTAAAGCTTCTTTCAATCTCCGTTTGAATATGAACACATTGTCACCCAAAATATCCAGCTCAGGATGTTTCAGAACCAGGGAGTTATAATTGCTGCTAATTCTAGATAGAGGTTTGTAAGTTAGGATTGTACGATGAGTTCGAACATAAAACAATACTATTAAGAGTTACATTTCCAAAGAGTTCAGATTTCTATTTACCTCAGAATTTTATTAAACGTTACCATGTCAATAATTTTTAAAGTAGACGTATTAAAGTAGGCACATATCTTTCTGTATAAAATGTGGGAATACGCTTTATCCCCAGGTGAAACAGTTCAGAAAAATTTTGCCTGAATACTTTCGAGGAGATGTATATGCAACGCGTAATAAGGATTCCAAACAATACTGCAGTACTCCAGTTTACTACGAATTAATCTATTAAAGACTTTAACATAAGACTAGACTTTAAGATAAGATAGACTTTATCATAAGACTTTAACATATTCATGGATAAGAAAACCTTTACAACATCGGGAAATAAATCCAAACGTCTTGCTACAAGTATTAAATTATTGCTAAAGTATTATTGCTATAAGTAATCATAAATATTTTAGGGAATATGATGCATGCAGTCCATGAGTCTCGTACCGTAATTTTACAATCTAAATCCATATGATTAATAGAATACTGAAAGTCAGTTTTCTTTACAGCGCTACATGAGAATTTGATACAAAAGCATTTTTGGACGTTAAGAAATATGTGGTTATTATTACACCATGTCGTGGGTGATCCATATCTCGTAGCAATAGTATGCAATATTCATTTGTATTAACACTACGAAATATTTTAAAATCATCCGCATACATCAAGCATGGAGAAGATTATATCTACGGCTAAATTTTCTGAATCAGGAATACACAGTGTTGCGACATGGCGCTTCATCAACAAATGCCAATCGAAGTCGCTGCAAATTTATTGTTGAGTTAAGCTACATCGTAAATCATGAAAGTCGATTAAGGACAATTCTTACTCCTAAAGCCCCACCACTTTTCAGCGTTCTCCGTCACGTTAACCTGGGCTGTCAGTTTTTATCGCAAGCTGATGGTAGCACCCAATCCTCTTCTCTATTGAAAATAGTGTTTTTTTTTTTAATTTCAGTAGCTTCGCGAATCAATCTCGGGAGGAATCGGTATTGTGTGGATCTGTTGTCTATCAAACCTGGTATAATGGTTGGGGCGATTTAGGGTGTGCTTACAGACTGCATACCCATTTATAGCATAGCAAAATTTATTGCAATGTGACAGTACTAGTGACACCTTTTATAGCAGACGGGGAAATTTTATCAGGAATACGCCAATAAAATGATCTTTTATTTTTGGTTTTACTCCCCTTGTTGTCATAGACTCCAAAGGTCAACATACCAAGCAACGTTCGGTTTCCTAAGTTGAGCAAGGCAGTATTTTCTGCTAGCCCATGGCCTGCAGTATTTAAAGCGTAGCTTTGGCTGCTCATTGAATACTGTTTTCATATCTGAGCTGGGGTACCCTAATAGTACCAGCTCCTTCCATGTGATAGCATCCAATAGAGACCTTATCGAATGAAGTGATGTGTCACTCCTTTTGAATTTTCTATCGCATTTATCACGAGGAGCTGAGAATTTTTTCGGGTTTATACCTGTTGCTGAGAACTTTTCATTACCGAAAGAGCCAACCGCCAAATACCATCGATACCATGTTGATTGTAGACCCCACTGCTTTTCACTATTTTTTACTGCTTTGCATTATTTTTTTTGTGGAATCAGTAGTCACCTGCGGTACTTCCGGATCGATACGACTTCAATTTCGATAATACTTTAAGATTGAAGCCTATTCCTATATCAAAGGGAAAGCGTTTGTACTTCTCCCGGTGGCGGTGATTGCTTACCACAAGTGACCCGCTTGCCGGTTCGTCTCTTGTGTTATTCATAAAAATAATCCTAACTATTTCTCAGACAAGCAGTAGCGTGAGTTTAACGGCTAACATCTTGAAAACTCTACGGAATAAAATCTGGTTAACGGCTGATTGTGAGGAGTTATTCTGGTGTAATAAACGATCTCTGTAAAGTGTGTAATTACTATAAAGTGTGTATTATAATGACATGTTCTCTTTTTTCTTTAATAAAGTGGCTCACTTTATTAAAGGGTGGCATTGCATTTGCAACACCCGGACCGGCGGTTATCACTTAACATCAAGTGCTCGCTTGCCCCCTTCTTACATAAAAAAAAAACTATTATAAACCCAATAATAATAAATAATATGATAATTTATTGTTTAACGACAGCTAACGTTAATTATTTTCTTCCAGCTGTTTTGCTTTTTTCTTTCTATCTGCGTATGTTAAAGTAAAATTTACTTACAATTGTATAGTAAATATTAAAGTATTGTAGATACTAAGGTATAGAATATGCATGCTTAATTTTTTTAAAGACTAATGCCCGGTTTCTGAAACACTGATAGTCTTAGAAATTAACTAAGCATCTGTCAAATGGCTTTTCAAACTTTTTAACATCCTTTTGCCAACTCAAATGACATTTGAAAAGCTATTTGACAGCTGATTAGTTAGATTCTATGATGATCAGTGTTTCAGAAACCGGGCGTAAAATAAACCATAATGGTTATCGCATTGTAAATACGAATATTACATAGACAAGCGCTTATTTATTTTTCAAATGTTTTTATCATTATTACGGCCTCTTGTGCTCCTTAATTGTCGATTCATATTCATTCCTAAATTTTGCTTGTTTTTAGGGTTCCGTAAACAAAGGGTAAAACGGGACCCTATTACTAAGTCCGCTGTCTGTTTGTCTATCTCTCCGGCCGTCTGTCACCAGACTGCATTACATGAACCGTGATAGTTAGTTGAAATTTTCACAGATCATGACGTATTTCACTTGCCGCTGTAACAACAAATACACCAGAATAAAAATATTAAAGTGGGGCCCCCAAACAACAATCACGATTTTTTTTTTTGCCGTTTTTATAGAAAATAGTACGGAACCCTTCGTGCGCGAGTCCTACTCCTACTTGGCCGGTTTTGTGTTTTCTTCCTTGGTATGCAATAAATAATTTGTTTATTCATGAACTTCAAACCCATTTTTACAATTACAAAAAACTTAAGCCTATTTTTGGCGCCAAAGCTAGTCATGACCAATACAGGTTTCACTTTCTTGGACATGATGGTAACACAATCAAATGGAACTGTCACATAGTAGTATTAGTCTAATTCTTTTAAAAGTTTATTTTTGACTATATCCATTAATGCATAAAACGGACCTTCTTTATTTGTAGCCGTGCATATAGGAGAATTCCTTCTACAGCGTGTCGTTACCATCGCGACAATTAATGAACACACGTCTAACGCTACTTGCCAATAATTATAAAAAAATATTATCGTTAAAAAAATCCATAATTCAAAAAAATATTTTTCATACAAACTCATTAAGTAAAAAAGAAACAAAATTTGTAACATCCTATACAACTACAACTGTACTACATACATTCATACATTCAGAGACTTTTTCATTCGTTGCCACAGCGTAGTATTACAAGCCTCTCCTTCTAACAGTATGTTTTGTCTCTTTTAAATTCATTCAACCCATTCATATGCTTTGTGACCTTTACAAATGAACTTTACGTCACAGTTTTATACGTACGGGTGTTCTTAAATTCTTTGTTTTGGAAAATTTAATCTTATCACCCAAATCTATAGTTGTCATTATTCAAGACGATAATATTTACTTTACTGTTATTGTCGTCCTATCATCAAAACTCCTTTTATACTATCATCATCATTGTTGATCTGTTTATATCAAACATGCATCAGTCGGTAGTATTAACAATATTTGCAGTACTTACTAATTATGATAATTTATCAATCAAATATATGACATATTACGGAACAATCTACATACCACACTTAGGCACTGAATTTTTAATTAAGTTTAATAAAGTTAAAATGGCTAAACATTTACACATCATTTTAAAAAATATAGTAGAGTATGAACAATCTCTTGCTTACAATGTGGACTTTGAGTGACTCTGGTTGGACATACCTAATTATGTTTATTATCAGTAAAATTTCATTACAGATCATGCATATCGATGGACATAACGTCAAAAATCAGAATTTTGCTTCCGATCAACTGTTAATATAACAGAAAGAAACTATTATTATGGCTGAGATTACATATTTATTTATTAAGGTCTATCCACAAAATATTAAATATAGCATACCAAGATTAATAGTAAAGTAAATATTATCGTCTTGAATAATGACAACAATTAGATTTGGGTGATAGTCATTTGCATTAGCAAACGATTGAATTGTTACAAAATGTTAAACGTTTTAAATTGCTCCGTCTTAGTTGATACGCCCTTTGTGCGTTGGCGCGAACACGTTCATGTAATAAAATTAAAAGCGTAATGTAAAGGAAGGCGGATACTAAAAAAGCTATAACTAAGAAACTTGTTCTATATTCTATATTGATATATTCCGAATCTCCGAGGAGTGTCCAATTCTCCGACGGCGACTGAGCCAATGCGGACTTTGCAGGCCAAAGCCAGGCTCGATCTTGATTTGCTCTTGAGTGTCTCTTGGATTGGAGTCGTGCAGCGGTCTACAGACTACAGATGGCATTCACGTCGCGCGCCTTAACCCGAACGGACGTATCGCTGGCGCGTCCGCGAATAAATACTGACCGTCGGTATCGTTTTTGTCGCGTCTGCGTTTTTATTTAGTCGTAACGCCTACCGACACAGCGCTTAGTCCAACGCCAAGAAAATAACCTGCCGCCTCACAACCGACTAGCGGTGTCGTTGGCTTCTGGCAAATTGAATTTTCGACTTTCGACGTTGCGGGCTGACGTAGAACCCGGTGCAGTGATAACGGGGAGTGATGTGAATCGAGCTGTGTTTACGTTGCGATGTGTGTGGGTCGAGTGTAAAGTGGTTGTTGTAAATTACAATAAAAATGGGTTACGCATCAAGCGGCACGGGGCGGGCGGCGCATGAAGCGCTGCTGGCGAGGCAGGACGCCGAGCTTCGCCTTATGGAGGCAATGAAAAGGAGCCTCCAGGCTAAGATGAAGAGCGACCGAGAATACGCCCTCGCCCTCTCGGCAGCTGCCGCCCAAGGCCAGAAGATGGACAAATGCGAGGATCTCAATGGTGAGTTATCAATTAAAATCAAACATAATAATGAAACGAAGTATGTTTACCTTTTCTTTTAAGAATAAAAAAAAACTCCGATTGAAGATCTCAAAGTCGAGTTATGATTTTAAAGCAAACAAGCTGTTCGTAACAGAAGAAATAAATTGCTTTAGTTAAAAAGTTTCAAAATTAGGACAATCTGTTCACATACCTGAGGGAGTGTACACGGAATTTGTTATTTTGTTACCCGGTAGGCAACAGAAGGGTACCCTCATAACGGTTAATTTTAAATGCGCAGGACAACTTGGAACAAAGGCTTTCTTAGGAACAAAGAAAGCATTAGAGCTGACAGCAGAACAACTTATTGTATTTAACCATTACGAACCGCAAAAATTCCCCACCCGCCGTAGACGCGGAATAAACATCTTTTATATATATATGTATGTCCTTCTTCTGTAGGTGTGTATGTCACTGAATTCCTTAACAGCTGGACCTTAATATTTTAATGAAATTTGTTGTGTGTCTTCAGGTCGATTCGAGAATGGTTTAGATTCATAAGCATATTTTTATTTATAAGTTGTTGTCGGGTTTAAGTCGTGGGTACAGGACAACGTCTGTCCGGTCCGCTAGTATAGATAGTTCATTTTTTTTGAAGATGTTAAGTGCAAAGCAGATGTAAATGGCAAACTGACCAGCTCCGATAAATCCCATTTATTATCTAGAAGACTTTAAACAAATAGTTGCTGTTTAAACTATCATACGTTGTTTTCTATTTCAGGCTCCCTTATAGCGTCCGCCTGGCGCACTATGACCGAAGAGTGGGAAAGCACCAGTCGGCTGATAAGGGCCAATGCCGAGGCCCTCGAATCCAGGGCCCTAGATCGCCTCATTACTCTTATGTCAGAGCGGAGGAAAACCAGAAAAGTGTACCAAGAGGATCATACTAAAATCTCTTCCCAGTTCACACAGGTACGAACGAATTTATGATGTTTCGTTAGTGGCTTAGAACTGTACTACTTTAGTCCTTTCAGTCAGTATTAAAGATTTTAGAATATTATTATTTTTTTTTGTAGTATAATACAATCTTTATTGATCTAATATTTACAAGATTAAATCTAATATTAATTATAAGAATATTAATTAAAAGTTATTCGTTGGTATGAATTCTTAATGGATAATACAATTATACATAGAATGACACAGACAACTTGTTTATATGTAGAATTAGTTAGGTCTTTGAAACCAGGACGAATTTTAAAAAGCTATTATTATTTTCACCCTTAAACATAATGATCAATCTTTATTATAATATTATGGTCTACGACTTTCGTTGTTTAGAATATGATGCTATCGTAGGATTACTGTATGTGCGCGATTACAAGAGATGATAGATTTAGAAGTAGTAAATGTATGAACATGTTTTATAAAGTATATTATGTTATTCCTAGCAAGATTGAAATACGGGGTTCCCCGTTCATAAACCTAGTTTTTTGATATGTATTTTAATAGACGATAATCCTAAAAAAATTAATGAGTAATTATGTTATTGCATAAGAGAGTTTATGATAAAACTTATTCTTTATTACTAGAATAGAACTTCTAAGCAAATACATATATTATAGAAATTCTAGTAAAATTTCTCTTCTAGTCATGATTCGAATAGCATGTCTAATCATGTCCCATGGCCGATAACGGCAATGAGTCATCAGTATTTGTTGTAAGCTGCATTCTTCCGCTTCATGGAAAAAAAAAACATATATTTTTTTAATAAATAGTTTTTTTGGAAATTAATATATAAAAGACGACCCAATGGCGCAGTGGTTAGTGCCTGTCTCTAAAGTCATAGGGTGTAGACATATCATACATTCCAGACATATCTCATGACTGGAAAAATATTTCGTAATTTACGTAGTGTTTTTTGTCTGTGGATGTACAATTTATATGTATTTATATACAAAAGTAAAGTATTTTTAAATATTTCAGTAACCTGGAATTCACAGTACCTACAAGCATTGGTTATTTTGGGAAGTGTAACATAAATATTATAAAATATATCCCGAAATACTTATTTTTATTTATTTTACTATATACTTAACTAATTGAGTATTCGTCTAGTACTATTGTATTAATAAAAATTCTACTCGAAACTCTTTTACATTGTTGAATCAAATTATGACGAAGTATGAATATTATCGAAAATATAAAGAATCAATCATATCGCAAAAACTATTGGTTCCACGTTATAAAATGTCTGACGACGATATTCAAGCCCCGAACTCGATTTTGTGCAATAATAAAGTTTTGTGGTTTCGTGACTCAGGCATATTTTCGTTATCGTTTTTGTTTTGTTCCATGGTTAAACGATTTTCAAAGAAAAGTTATGGCCTCCGATAGCGCTCATGAGGCGGATTGGTAATGCGAACTTCGACTTACCGAGTTAACGTTGAACGCTCGAGTTCCGTTACCGACCGGTTAGTTTGGTTTCCTTGTTCCCGCCGCTTCCTATCAATAATCTACTATCCTAGTACTTCGTAAATGCAATTAGGTCTTAGAGAACGGTGCAAATGAAAGTACTGTGTCATGGCCGGTTTACAGCCCACTACTTTGCCAACAACTTTTCCGAGACCTAGCGAGTCTCCAATGTGGGTCAATCGGTTTTATCCAATGAAGCAATTGACTTACGGTACTTGACGAATGATGCATCGACATCAATGATTTATATAATGAACGCATATCAAACGACTTGATCAGGGTTGACTCCTTTTGTAATTGTGCCATAAATACAAATTATTTTTAACCTTATACTTATTTATACCAGAAAAAATCCGTGCTTCAACAACTGTCAAAATAGATTTAACAAAAGAAAAATTATGATAAAAAATAAGTAAAAAAAATGGATCATAAAGGTCTTTGATCTTCAATTGTATTTAAATATTAGAACATTTGCGATGTTTGATTCGTTTAAACATAACGATTTCCTGCATAATTCAGATGCCTGCCAATTTACATTAGTGACGTAAATAAGTGGATTTTGGCGCAAAACAGGGGTGCGGCCACCTAATTAATTCGGTCAAACAGTCTTTACATACACGATTTACCGTAATTATTACCATATATTATTTATAACATAGATGTGCAAATAATAACTAACAGTTTAGAACGCTGTTTACTAGAAATTCTTACAATTCTATGGACAGGAAGTACGTTTGTATGTGAGAGAATGCACACGGGTTAATGAATGACTTGCATTAGGAGTCCAATGTACGACCTCCTGGAATGCGCCTCTACTTGTAGAATCATAATATGATGTCTGCTCAGTCTTCACTTAGATGAACTATTTCTATTCACTGCAAAGTTTCATCTGTGCTGGGTTACTATTGAGTTATGACCATCGACAAAGAAAAGTGAATTAAATTCAATCATTAGAGATTATTTTTTTATTTTTATGCGAAAAGTTGTCAAACGAGCAGACGGTTCATTAGTTAAGTGATTTCTGCCACACCCGGGGGATACAGATGCGTTGACAAACTTTGGAAAATTGGCATTAGAGATTATTTCATTTTATATTTATTATTGACGGTTATTTGTTTGAGTTGAGATTGTCTTATCAATCATAATATGTATAAAACATTGTGAAAAAAAAAACGAAATTTTTTTTTACCAATAAAGTTTTATGGTAGACATAAATATGGTTTTTAATACATATATACTCGTGAAATGATGTTAAAGATAGAGATTCAAACAGAACAAAGAACAAAATGGTCTTTAAGACGTTATGATTCAATAAATATTTTTACACCTTTGTAAAATATAAAAGCACATATTACGTTTCAAATTTTTATTTGTTAATTGTAACCTATGTTATTTAACACCATATGTTAATTTATTGTAAGAATTAGAACACAAATTCAGTTGTTGAACTTCATAAGGACAATTTTTATTTTACATAATTTGAAGAGAGACGCGTAAAATGAATCCTTGTTGAAATTTGTCGCGGCGCACCTGTCACCGGTCGCTTTCCGCGGCCGTCCGTATCGGCGCGTGCAACTTTTATGTTGTTGGAGTTTATTTTATTGCCATTATTAGAAAACGGTCGTCATTCGTCCGGATCGATTTAAAATTTAAAACAGAAATATAATTGGTCCGGACCGTTAGCCGTGTTAATTTCATTATTCGGTTTCATAAAATATGCCTTTACTGCCGTTCATTAATTCTGTCAGCTATTATATTTTATTTTTGTAAAACTTGGTATAATAAATAATGCTTTTATTGTTTCTGTTGTGGTGAAATCTTGTTAAATCTGATCATTTCAATATAGGTATTAACACCCAAAGGGCATATCGTGCGGGATGTTTGATGTTGATAAGAAATCATTGAGAAAGCAAATATAATGTTTTTAAAATACAATCATAAGTCTGAAACTCACATCACTCACCACACTCTGTAAATTTAATAACATATTACATAACAGCCTGTGGTAGGGCAGGTATGCGCTCAGAGAGCAATAGGCCTATTTATACAAAGAAACCAAGAATATGCGATTTAATATGGACACTACATGTATACAAGCAAGGACACCATGTCATTGCTATAGATTTATTGTAAAATGGTCATATTTATGCTTGAACAGTGTGTTCTTACTTTAGACTTAAATAAACTGAATATATTATTTTGTAAGATGATGGTTGACTATGGATTACTTTCATGATAGGTAAAATTGTTAAAGTATTTTTTATCAATCGTGATTGTTCTGAACAAGGCACAGTGCATTTTCATCGCCAATTTCGCAACGACAGAATCCGGTAACAGCGCTTCGATGTGTTACCGAAGTTGGCGTGCTCTGATTGCACCGGATCTGGCCTAGATGTAAAAAAATGAAAGAAGAAAGAAAGAAAGAAAATACAGTTATTTACCAAAAAAAGGACGCACACAATAAAAAGCAAGAAAAACTAAAATTAACAAAAAATAAAAGAAAATAAAAAAATACTTATAAATAATTCCGTAAAGCGAAAGAACACAAATACTTAATTAAAATATAAACAAATGAAAAAGAACTTTAACAAACCATCTCTCAAAAATCTCCTGCTTACTTTTTTTTTTTTACTTCTTCGGTGGATTCAAAACTGTTATAGTTTTGGCACACTGAGAAGTTATCTTTAGATACGTTTGACGATTTTATTTCTTTGACAAAAATATTATTTTAGTTAAATAATTGATAATATAAAGATTTTGATAGATTTTGTTATGAAGTTAGCGAAAAATATTATAAGTTCAATATTCAATAATTGTGATTATATTCATAACTTAATTGGGTTCAAATGTTTTACTTGATAACTAATTCGAATTCTCTTTAACTTTAAACTCCTATTTCTACTTAAATTTGTTTTTGGGGATGGTGAGCGGAAACATGGGAACACCTCTCGAACAAAATCAATCAATCAAAAGAAGACATCCAATATCTTGGTCGCGTATCCGTTGCTAGGCGAGTAAACGGCAAAACTGGGGCGTAAGAATCGCTAGCAAAGCTGCGACTACTTGCTGCGTATTTCACACAGCTGTTAATAGTTGTGACCTACTTCGTTTACGGCGTGCGGCAAAACAAATAGTGCGCTTTGTGTTATGATGAATTGAAACGAATTCTACAAGCTTTATACGTATTTGCAAGCAAGCATTGTTTCATGAACGTTGTTTCACGGTACCTACATCTGACGTTGGGGACTCTACATGTGATGTGCATGTATTTGTCGTTAATAATTCACATAAGTAAAAGTAGGTTTTACAAAAACATTATTTCAATCCATTTACATTAAAGACCAGTTTACTTCTTTACCAATTCCGATTAATCGATTACATCATTGTAGAAAATGTCTACGGTTTGTCATTCTCGGTTTTAGACGCTGTGGCGACTAATAAGCATAAAAAATGTTTGAAATGGTGCCAATTTAATAACGTCTCGGAATGTCAAATAT